CATTGGCAAATATCTGCAAACCAGCATTATTATGTGTTATTAAACCCCGTCATTTAAAGTAAGTCATGCATTTATTCCCACAGTATGTTTCTGTGTGCTTACCAGTCCACTGTGGGCTAATACTAATAATGTTAATATAAAGTACATAGTGATGATAATAAAAGGAGGGGGTGAATCAACACTGGAGTTTGTATTAATGTTACTAACAGTCAAATGACTTGCGGATCTCTTTTGTTTGGTGAACAAATTGTAAATAAAAACGTCTTTTAAAGCTCACATATTTAAATAGCTTTTTTTCAGCCAGTGAACAGCCATCTTTTACCAACAGATATTCTACTAACTATCCCATAAAGCAAGTAGAGTATCAGAAAGTGATGTTCATCCACAGATAAGGTCATTTCTCTTCAACCCAGAGTGGTTAACAACGTTAAATGCAAACGAATAAAAACCAAATCACCATCGCTCCTGAACACCCCGTCACCTGGTGGGTGTCCTGTGGCAGATGGGCCCACGTAGACCGGCCTCTTTCCCCCTTTAACACGACACTGCGTCTGATGACACGGGGAGATAGCGGAGGGCCCTGTTTTCCAACGTGAATTCCTGGGTCTCTTTCCACTGGAGACTCCATGCACAGCCAGCGGATCATGGAAAAGGCCATAAATGCAGCGACCGCTTTGTTACCGCGTACAAACAAAGGACGCAAATCAGTTCAATGAGTAACCACATTCACTCACTTATTCCATGTTCGGCTCCTAGTGGACATATACAAACTAAGCCATGCGCACAATGCACACAAAGGAAGAGCTTCCCATTGGTAGAATCAATGATGTAGCTGGCAGCGTTTCTGAACTTATTTCATAGTCAGAAATGAAAACAAAGCATAAAACTTTATTGTTTGTGTATTTTTTTTCATTAGTTCCGTAATTGGCGGTGACAGAACTTGAGGAACTACTTGATTTGAAGGGAAACCCAATAGACGCACTGTATTCAGAGGCCTTGTTACAGTGAAAAGCCAGAAGAACAACCACACTGCTTCCCTTATATGTTCCCGCTGACTGCCTTCTAGCCGTCTGCTGCAGCGCGACACACATCTCGCTTTCTCTAGAGAAGCATCGGTGCCGCCAGATCACCTCTACAGAGGCGCTATTGTCCCGGAGTGGAAACCAAAGTCAAGCTCAGCTTCAGGTCAACCAGAGCTGGGAGGGAAGCGCCTCAAGAAAGCCAACTCCCGCCGCCTGAACCTAAAAGCCATATTTACAACAATGGGAGTCTGGGAAGGTCATCAGAGAGGATCGGCAAAGACCAGGACCACTGTGGACCCTGAGACGCAGACTAGAGGTTCTAGAATTACATGCGGCCGGAAACCGGAATTTCACTCGAGACGTCCCTTCTAAAGCCAAAGCGTGAGCGTGCCAAGAGGCACGGTTTCCTGAAAGCGATGGGAGGAAAAAGGGAGATGACTGAGGAGGAAAAGCTGGCTCGTCAGATCCCAACGCAACACAGAGGGAAAAGCACTTATTCGGAATGCTCAAATTTTGTCATGATTCAGCACAATTTTTTCAGGTGTGCAAGCACATTTAAATGCAAAAGAAATGACGGAGTTGGACTTCACTCATACGTATATTCTCTTCCAATCTCCTTTCTGTGTCCAGAACTCGAATAACCTGTTAACTGTGGAAAAAAAGCATATTGGTATTTAAGCGGTTTATCCCGTGCTTAAAGCGAGCCGGGGAGCCTCGCACGGAGGCTTATGGATTTAGCTGTTGACGTCCCCCTGAGAGTAGTTTGATCTCTCACAGGTTAACGCGGTTAGAGGGGCTCTCAGCTCACCTCACGCCTGTACTGTAACATTGGAAGGGAGAAGTCAGCGGAGATGGGAAATCATGCAATCTGATAAAGGGCTCCAATTCAATATATTGCAGTATATTGCAATTTTAGGAAAACCTGACCATATGCATGAAAAGGTGGAAAGAAAGTTGACTTTTTAATGGAATCCAACCCAATATAACAGCATAGATTAATAAGAAAACAAAGTAAGAAGTATATTAACGTAGTTCCTCTTTATGGGTAAACTATGCAAAGCAAATAAACTGTTTCTTAGAGAATCGATGCACATAATACAGGTGTCTTCTCAAAGCCCTCGTCGTCGGAACAAACAGAGGGAGTCCAATTGATTCCAAAACCATTTAGCATCTCATCAGCAAAATAAATCCCCCCCCCTGTTCATTGCTTGTGGCTGGCTGCCGGGTGAAGCTGTGGGAATATATACAACCTCCCCGCAGATGATGACAGTTAATAAAGCGAGCCTGCCAGCCTGATACTAACGATGGTTATATATTAATATAAATTTTAAAAAACAAGATAACACCCGAAGAACAGGACAACGTGCACCAATGGTTTGTTTTTTACAAATGGTCACCAATTTTTTAACAACTAGAAATTGTTTTGCCCCTTTTCAGTGCAAACAGCAAACAGAAACTACCAATATTGATCACAACAATCGTTCATCCCCGAAAACCACGCAACTCCCGGCTTGGTGATTTTGGAGTAAGTGGAAGGATTACATGCTCCTTTGTGGGCTTAGAAAACCACCGTCCTTCTTAAGGCTTATAAAACCTTTCAACCCCCTTTGGATTATTTCAGAAATGCATTGTCACCGAGCTTAGAACAGGACTGTTTTTCTTTCTATTTGATTTGACATTTCCACTGCGAGGTTAATATCGTATTAAGCACGGTACCATTTTGATTACTAGGGAGGAAATCTACTTCATATTCATTAATTCAGTGGGATTTTCAACTGACATCAGCAGAAAGTGTTCAGTCAGTATTAGCAAACCTTCTTCATTACGCCAGACAGAACAACAACAGATTTTCGAAATAAAAGTTGTCTAATATTTATTACGGCAGTATTTTCCAAGGCGGGTCTTAATTCCCTTCTAATCACTGTTTTTGTAGTTATTAAGGAGTTTTATTGTGAGTTGATGAATATGCAAACTGCTAATTGAATGGCACAACGATAAAATACACTTTTATCAACAACATATCCATAAAATGTAAAAACAACTCTCACATATAATCCTTGATTGTTTTTGCGATTTCAGTCGGGAGTTTTGAATTCTACATAATGTGCAAATGAAGTTTGGACTATTATGGACACTGTGTTCTTGGGAAACATTGTTTGCCACCTAAAAAACATCTGTCTCAGCCCCTGGCCAAGAAGAAGAAGAACAACAACAGCAGTGAACACTGTGAGGCCATATGGCGCAGCTCGTAGATCCCCCGCAATGGAAATGAACAGTAATTATACCAAACTAATGCACACAATAACTGACATTTTAGCTGTTCATCTTCTAATCTTCTCTGGTCGTAATAAAATGGCCCTGCGGCAGCGAGAGATGCGCAGCGTCTAGTTTGTTTAGCCCCCCCAGAAATATTTAGGGACTCTTGTCTTTGTGGCTCACAAACACTTTTGATTTGTTATGGTTGACTTTAAACCGGGCACTGGTTTGTTACTTGTTGGAGCAGAAGGGAAAGATGCAAGTTGCACGTGCACTGCCGGGCCGCAGTCGCTCTGGGCTCCTCCGCTTACAAGGAGGACCAACAGTGCAGTGTGAGTGCGGACAATGATGATTCACGGGAATAGGAAGTTCCAACCATTAGGCGGTAAAGTGATACTTGTGGTCACTTTCGAACCCGACATCTGGCCTTTATGAGGTCTGAGTCACTCCAACTACATGTGAATATGTTCAAATGTTTTTAGTCTCGGACCAGCATTGAGACGCACGCCGCAGCTTTCCGGCGCTCACTTTCCTGTCAAAACTGCGTCAAATGTCGCGTCGGCCTGTCACGAGTTGTTCTGGAAGTTCAGCTTTTTAGAAAAGAAAAAGACTAAACAGCAAGATCGCATCGAGGTAACAGTCAAAACACGGCCGCGTCCTTAAGAGAAAGCTGATTTCTGTGACCTTTACTTCAGGGCCAAAAAGGGAGAGCACAAACACGAGCAGAGCAAGAGGAACCTGTTCCGGCGATTTCAGCACTAGTTTTCATCAGCCCCCCCCCAACACTGTGTCTGGTTTCTATCAATCCAAGCAGGATGAAGTGGCTGTCTTCATACTCAAATCTAATTTCCTTTGAGGACCAGATGCAAACTGGGCAAATATGGCCTTTATCTGTATTATGTAAGAGGATGCACTACATCTATCTACCTTTACTATACAATTGATTAAAACGTGCAAAAGAGCTGAGTGGGCAATAAAGGGGGAAACGCAAATGAGAAAACATGTCAGGGTTTTGTATATTAGAAACTGGTCACTGGGTGCTTCTTGGTGTGTGTGTGTGTGTGTGTGTGTGTGTGTGTGTGTGTGTGTGTGTGTGTGTGTGTGTGTTTCAAGGTGACAGCATCGCTCTGTTTCTTCTATTTTTGCCCACAATTAGGTCAAACGCTGCATAAGACAAAACAAAGATCACACTGCTCACAAAAAAGATCCAAAGTATTTCAAATGAAAGAAGAAGAAGAAGAAGAAGAAAAAGGAGCAGCAAAAATAGAAGTACGCCATTATATTGCTCAATCTTCATCCCCTCCCAGCATCATCCGCACTTTTCGGGGTGGAAATGTGCGCACTCGGGTCACCGTGACATTTCGCATATTTTAAATCGCCCAATTAACCACAACTTCCCCTCATCGCGCGCGCGCACACACACACACAGACACACACGCACACACACACACACGACTGTAACCCTCATCGATAACTGCCCCGGGGCAGACACCGAACGCTGCATTTGGTCCTGCGTAACTTTTATCAGTCCGCAGACTGAACAGCGAGACTTTTTTTTCTTCCCCCTTTTTTTCTTCGAGTTTCTCTGCTGCTTTTTTTTTCTGCCTGTGATTTCTGCGAGATTTATTCAAAGGCAAATCCCAACGAGAAAGCAAACGAGCGTGTGTGTGTGTGTGTGCGTGCGTGTGTGTGTGTGTTGTTGTAGCAGCCCGACGCACGTACCTTTCTTTTCCGCCAGAACGCAGCAGCCCCAGCAGAGCACGGAGGTGAGCCGCAGCCACTTCTCCAGCCCGGTTGCCATCGTGGGGTTTTTTTTCTCCTCAGGAATCCCGGGCAGAAGGTGTCATTGCGTAACCGCGGCGCGCGCTATTCCGCCTGCTCGAAATCAACAACAACAAGAAGAAAGACCACCAAAATCTTTAAGTTTGTTGTTGTTGGTTGTTGTTTTTTTTATGCCCGTTAAAGTGAAAGACTTTAGTCCTTCTCTGGGAGACTCAAAACTTTGACAGCTCCTCCTCCTCCTCGCGGATATCTCTGCGCGAGCTCTCTTGCAGCGGAGGGGGGCGGGGGGCAGACTGCTGGCGGCTGTGACGTCACCAGGAGGGAGGACAGATGCGCCTCCTCCCGCTGCTCAGGTGAGCTTTTCAGACTGGATGCTTCGTTCCTTTTCTCTAGGAAAGACGTGGTGTCTGCGATGACGTCACACTGTTTAGGGGGAAAAACGGCGCAGAAGTACGGGAAAAAGTACACGTGACTCGTGCAAACGCAGGTACGGCTACGTCTTCTTTGTTGACTTTCAGTTCAGCGGTTCATTGGCTCCCGACGGTTATGATTGAATTCTATCATTCATCGTCTTTCAATAGAATCATAAGGTGTTGAAAATATTTTGAGATAAACGCAATCTAAACTGATAAAAAAACTGGGCTTTCTCCTTAATTAAAGCTGCTATAAGTAGCTACCTTTTGGGTTGATTGTGGCGGCCCCTGTGGATGGACGTGGTACTGCTCATACCGGGTTATTGTATCACGTGGAAAGTAGTATTGGTGTGTATTGACGATCTATCGGTCCAGATGTGGGTCAATTTATCAGTCAAGTACTAAAGTAAGTTTGAGGGTTCGACTCTACCTGCAAACTTTACGTTACTTAATGAACTCAAAAACATAAATTAGCTTTAAAAATCCAACATTTGCTGCCTTTAGAAAGTTGTGTTAAATGTGCTTCTATCTTCCATCTTGCTTTTAATAATGAGTAGTTAATAACATGAAAACGTTAATTAATAATGTCGAGTGAGATGATTGAATGCTTGAGTAACCTTTGTCATAATGCCTTTTCTTACATAGTTGGACTTTTGATTTGACTTCACCTTTGGCATCTGTAAAACATGCAAAACTAAATGATGGAAACGTGTTTAGAGTCATTTCCACTACTTGGGAATGCAGAAAGCCTTTTTGGCAGCAGACATTCTGACTTGTCACTGCAAGTTCAACTAATATCCTTGTTGGCTGATTTCCATTGAGTGTCCAGGTCATTCAGCCAGTAAGTGAGCATGCACAATCTCAGGAGGACCCTGTTGGCAGATTGGATTTGCTTTTAATATGATTTATAATCACCTGAGCTTTTCTTGCTATGTCGTGACAAAAAATAAATAATATATATATTTTTATATAGCTATACCACCAGACCACCACTGTAACAGCAGACAAAGCTCTACGACTGACGCTGAGCAAACAAATACGCACACTACCTGATGCAAGTGCCCTTGTTGCTATTTCAGCTGAACCCCTAAAGTTAAAGGAAAGGGTGTCAATGATAAAGGCCACAGACGTATTTCCCAATGTCTGTACTTAGAACTTTCACCACAAATGAAAATTGCGTACCGTGCCATCTCCCGTGAAACGTTAGCCTCACATTAGGTCATCTGTCCACAAAGAAAATGCTCATAATCTCACCCAACACAATAACCTCTTCCTCCTACAGCACAACCAAAGACAATTTGGCGAGCCATTGGGCCGCGGTAACGAAATAAACATCAGCGTGAGAAATGATTTCTATCACTCCTGTCCCCATAGAGTCTGATCTGTGTACAACAACAATGACATTTAAGCAGCTTGACAAGCAGTTAGACTCAGCTCCGATCAGACGGGCGATCCGTCAGCGTGACACTGATCGGGCTTTCTCTCAAACATCAACTAATACATGTGGGTGAACTGGCGACTTTAGGAGCTTTCTCTCTACATATATTCTTTTAAATAGATTAAGAGTGGTCAAATATTTAAAGGTTTACTTTTAGGGAAAACACAATCTTCGGAGTCACATTTGTCATTTATTTGAGTTTGCATGTTTTGCCACATGCTGAGCCACAATGGAGGCTTTGTAACGAAGAAATAAAACGTTGAGAAATCGCTTTCGACACCGCTGATCATTAACTCAATTATGAAACGTTCCGTTGTGAGAAAGAAAAACGTCCGTGCGTGCGTTTACAGTGTTTCACATCGCCGTCCTTACGGGGCCTCGTGGCAGAGCCGTCCGCCAACCAAGCAGCAACAATAAACAGACGCAGAATAATGGGCAGAGCGGAAAGGATTGTTAAAAAACATACAAGAGGGAGGCGAGGAAAAAAAGAGTGTGAGAGAGCGAGAGGAGAGATGACAGCTACCGGCTGGAAAACTAAATACGTATCCCACTGTGCAATATTCTCATATTTTCCACCTCTTTTGTTCAGGAAGTACTGGTATTCAGTACCTGAAGGGACGTTTTGGATAAGCACCAAGATCTTTCAGGTACAATCAGAGCCAACCACACATTTAAGAGGATTTTTTTACACAAGGAGTCTCATTAAGTGGTTCGGTGAGGCAGAAAGGTCATGTGACTGAAGGGAGAAGATGTGATGTCCTGAAGGTTTGACGCGGCCCAGATGGACCAGCAACATCTCAAGAAGGGAAGAAAAAAAAAAAACACATGCGGAAGTAACAACCCCCAACAACAAGAGGAGTTATTGTGGGAACATCAGAGAGATGCAGGAGACGCAAGAACACAACACATGGGTTCGTTTAGGATTCACTGTCACTCGGTGTCCATGAGGATTATTTGCATTTGTCTTGGATGATGTTACATCACAAATGGAGTCCAATGTGTGGATGCCTTTTTCTTTTAATAAATCTGTTGTCTTGCCACCTGAACTCAATATATATATATATCTTTACGCACAACACAGATGATCAAAAGGGCTTCACAGCCCGGACTGAACAAAAGAAAGGAGGAAGGAAGAGATAAAACCATCCGCACACCGTCAACTTTCTGTGCGGAAACTGATCCCGACAACTCATAATTCATATTTTTGTTACACATTTCACCAGAAAATGATTATTGACCAGTTGATCAAATAGTAAAAAGCCTAAAAGAATGACAACATCTGTAGAATTAGCGATCATGCTTCCAAACATCTTCATTTCAGAAGTCATTATAAATGTTCACACCGTGCATTGAATAAATGATCCCATGACAGCTTTAATAACAGCTTTGAATAATATCTTAGGAAACCCTGTTATTGGCTTAATATGTGGTTGAAAAGCCTCGAGCGCTCGGAGCAAACTGTCAAGTACCAATTAATTAGGTTTAATTAGAGAAGCCAGTGAGATTACCTTGTAGCTCACCATCTGCCCTCCCCTCCTAAAGCAAACTATGCTTCAGCTAAACTTCAATAGGAACAAATAGTTCAGTGTATGGATGTATTGTTGTATTGTGATAACGAGCACACACACACAAACACACACACACACACACACACTCACAACGCACACACACTTTGTTGCCTCTTCCCATGGAGAGCGATCAAACATGTGCACATCTCATTGCTCCGTTTTACCGTTTCCCGAGGAGGCCCCCGGTCTTTGGCTCCGAGCCATCTTCACTTGCCGGAGCATGTGGTCTCCATGGCAACCCGCTGGGTTACCGAGTAAACACCTGAAAGTAAATGAATGAACCTGTTCTAATCCAATCGGAATCCCTTTCTCAACCAGTCAGGTCCTGTTTCACGGCATGGAACACCTAGTTTGGTTATGAGTAATGTGAATGATTTTCAGAATGTTTTGTGTGTTCGGGTTTCAATGCCGATTCAGCAGTTGTAATTCAATGTGCACGCCTGCGTATAATAACACTGAGGCCCTTTAAAATCATTAAGCGCTCAACATGAAGGAGGAAAAAGTCTGGTTAGCGAGGAAAAAGAATGAAACAATCGAATTATTAACAACAACGTAGGAAATCCTTTGAATCTAAGAAAATCCCAAGTGGTTTGGTGGTTGAGGGGATGAGGCCGAGGGTCCTCATTCCCACAGCTGTTGCCGGTGCTTCAAGCTCATTCAAATCAGTGGTGAGAAAGTGTCCCTGGATGCGGGAAGCTGCGAGTCATCCAAGAGAGGATAATAAAATGGATAAAAGGATGTGCATTGGACCACGGTCGCAGGAAACACTGCCGAGCCACAAACGGGTCCGTTTGGATGAGATTCATTTCAACTCGCTCTTGTGCACGTTGATTGAAGTAATGAGATAATAGGTGTAATCAGCACACGTGTAGATTTCTCTGCAGGTAGCCAAACTCTTTCCAAAGCTTCTGGCTCCTTTTTTATAATGATATTATTGCCTTAATAAAAAAGTGTGAAGAGGATTCCGCTGTGAGCTCTGTCTTCACCCCCCCCCCCCCCCCTCCCCCACATTACGCCCTTTCTGCTAATCAATGTCATTCAGGTTCCAGTATTGACTTGCGCCCTCTGAGGAGCAGCTGCCGGCCGCTGTCCTCTGGGAAACAGCGCCACCGCGCGGCTCGTTGGAGCATTTCAGCTCGAGCTTGAGCTAAAAATGTCAGGTCGTTTGTTCTGTGTCCTCAGGCCATGAGACCAGCACGTAGGGATATTTAAAGATGGGCCAGTGTGAATTAGACTTATGCCCCCCCCCCCCGCGTCCTACATAACACGCCAATAATGGCGTGAAGATTAATGTGCAAATCATTGGCAAGGTGCATGTTAAATGTCTGTGTATCACGCAGTTTTTCCAGTGCACATAGAGATAATTTGCCTCTGAGGTTCGCAAAGGCGTCGGCCGAAGAATGTCCCATCAGTCCGCAATCCGGATCCAAAGCTTCGTTTTAATATGAAGGGATTCGCGCAGCGTCTGATCTGCACGTGTGCTTCAAACTGCACAGAGAGAAGGCGAAAGTCCACCGTGCAGGAACAACGGAGGAGGAAAAAACGCACTCCGTGTGACGCGCAGCGCGCAGGAGCCGCTCGCATGATGCTGCCAAGCGGCGCTGCGCCGTGCGAGAAATCAAAGCGCAGGCGTGGAGTCGGGAGCGAGGGAGCGAGGGAGGGAGGGAGGGAGCGAGCGAGGGAGGCTATCTTGCGCAGATTGGGTACTGTACATGGCCATTGATGCTCCCGGATAGATGTAGCCCCTGATGTAAATAAGAATGGCGACGGCAGCGGGTTTAACGTGCGGCGCAATCTCTGCTTGACGTCGGAACATTTTACGCCAAACGTCGGGATTTTATAAAAAAAAACAACAACAACAAGGAAAAACACTAGGGGGGGGGGGCTTTTTTTTCTTCTCCTCGTTTTTCATCCGAAGCTGCCTTGAATAAGCTCAGCCCGATGATTTCCACTTGACACAAGAGCCACAGCGGACCGGCGGCTTCTTCTAATAAACACTCGGGACAAACAGGTCATTATGACCTTAGCATCCTCCAGTGCAAGAAAACCATCGGATTGCTTCTACGCGGCAGCATTCTGCTTGCATTTGTCGCTTTGGATTTCGTGCGCCGTGTCCGGAGAGGAGGATCATCACTTCAGCGTTGAGGTAAGACCAGCGGCCTTCCTCCGCCTGGGTACCACAAAATGACCGCGCGCGCGCTCGCTCTCTCCTCCTCCTCCTCCTCCTCCTCCGACACCCCGCGCCACGGCTAGCGAAAGCATCCACCGGAGGTCCGTGCTTTCGACCCGCCCGGGCTGTCCGTGTCTGCACGACGGACACGACGGGGGACACGGACACGTTGGAAGCCAAATGTCTCGCATTGCCCGTTTGTCGAGAAATAAAAGGGATGCTCGTGGTATTACTCTGCTGTGCTCGTCCTAAAACGTGACACCCAGATGTGAAGTGGTAAATAATGCTTTCATCGGGGCACTTGTGTGTGGCGGGCCTACAAAGAGTCAGCCAGGCTTTTGGCATCATCCCAGTGTTGAGGGGGGGGGGGGGGGGGGATTAAATATTTAAAGACAAAAGCTCCAGTGTAGGATTAGCTTCTTCTTCTTTTTTTTTCATTTGCACCTCATTAATTGATGCCATTTTCATCCTCACCTCAGGCTCCCTCTCTCAACCTCCCTGAAGAAATAAAACGCTGAGGCCGCCATCAGTCACACAAACACATCATTACTCCGCGATGTGGCTCACTGAAATGTGCCTGATATCTCTCTGAGATCTGTGCCTTTTAACAAGCAAACACAACACACACAGGAAACACGCCCACAGAGAGGGAGAGGGGAGGAAAAAGGAAAAGGGGGGGGGGGGGGGGGAGGATAAACAAGGCGTTTAGCTCATGCAGAAAGATGGATAGAGGCAGGCAGATGGAGGGGGTGGTGGGGGGGGGGACAGCTGGTTTGGCGCGTGGACAGCTGTGGATAGCGACCTCTTAGATTGAATCTGGCATTGACCCTCCCCCCCCACACACACACACACACACCAACCCGGATGGTGCGCGGCCTTGCTTCCCGTCCCTCTACCAAGCCGCGCTCTCGCTTTGGCGGGTTAGGGGGAGGAAGGCCCACCGTCCTGCACGCGGACTCTGACCAGCAGCCAGGTCACTAGATGGGATGTAGATTCATAGACACCGGAACCACCGCCGGATCGACCGATTCTACAAACCAAAAATATAGACACCAAAATAAATGACCCACAGCCATATCCTTGCTTCTTTTTAATTATGGGATTGACGTCTAATTGGGAAAAAATGGGTAGGTCAACTAAACGAATAATACTTTGCCCTCATTAAACGGCTGCTGCTTCGGTGCCTTTGAGCACGGTGTGTTCTGCGATGTGTGTTTGTATTCATCAGCCTCCCAAAGGGAAACACACTGAAAAACAGACTGGAAACAGTTACACGTGGAACCAAATCTAATCAAACCCAAGATGAAGGCGATTCGAGTGGAACGCTGCGGCAGACGGGCCGACTCGTTATTCTGATGCCTTTCACATTTTACAGCTCGGGTTTGCATTGTATTTGGTGATTAACTTCTAAAGTATCCTCTCAAAACCTGCAGAGATCAACCTTTTTCCTGTGCATCTTCTCCTGCTCCGTCTCCTTGATGTTCCTCCTGCTTTCTCTCTTTCTGAAGAAAGTCTCAATAATAGCCCAAACCTTTCTTTCCCTCTTCCCTCCTCGCAGCGATGGCTACAGAGGTACGGCTACCTTCCCCGCACAGAACCGGGGATGTCCGTCCTGCGCTCGGCCCAAACCATGCACTTAGCCATTGCCGCCATGCAGCGCGTCTATGGCCTCAATGTCACCGGGACACTGGATGAGAGAACCAAGGGGTGAGTACGCACACACATGCTAACGGGCCAAGCTGAGGTGCGCGTGTACTCTCGCCAGGCCAATCGGTGTCACATTAGTGCAAACGCTCCCCTCATTCATTTAAAAAATGCAGAAGTAAGGCTATCAATATTTCAATGAACGAGTGAAGGACCGAAATAGAGTTTTTCCTTTCCCTCCCCGTCACCATGTATGAAACAAGCTCAGGTGAAGGTTTTAACACTTTTTCTCCTTCTCATTTTGCACGACGATGCAGTGACATCACGCTGAGGTGAGAATTAATGTTGGTCTATTTATTACAGTGTGTGTGTGTGTGTGTGTGGGCGTGTTCTTGTGATAATGTGATGTGGTATGAATGAGAAAACATGAAAATTCGTCCCCGGCCCTCATTGAGAATTTAATCCTCCACTTGCATCCATGACTGTAGTTTGGTGACACTTCCTTTGCTGCTGTGATTGCATAAGGACGAGAACTGCTGAGTTCAGCTCAGTGCCGCGTGTGGCTTTTTGATGTGGATTTTTAACGCACAAAACTTTTGTCGCCGCCTCTTGTCTTCTTCAAGTTGGATGCAAAAGCCTCGCTGCGGCGTGCCGGACAAATTCAAAGGTGCCGCGAGGTCACGGAAGCGGAGGTACGCGCTGACAGGACAGAAGTGGCAGCGTACGCACATCACCTACAGGTGAGATATAGTGGAGGCAGTTGTCATGGCGACCATTGAGCTTAGCGGCGCTGGCTGTGGGTTTTCTGAGGTGTTCACTTTCTCAGCGCTCCTCTGCCTCTCGTCTCCTCCTCTTTAACCATCTGGGATCACATGCTCCGTGTTGTCATAGAGACCGCTCACATACGTCACACACACACACACACACACACACACACAAGCACAGTGAGACGTGTTTACTTTCCAGATTATTAATAGGTTGTTTTTTTTCATCAGAACAGCGTGACAATTGCAGTCTTCACCCTCCCTCATATACAATTGTTTCAAAATCCTGAGTGTAAATTATCCATAATCGCAGGAAGAAATATTCTGACTCTCCCTTTATCTCGCCCGATTAAGCTCCAGTTTTTAATAGCTTCTGAGGAGAGCTGATAAACTGGTCTCTGGCACAACTGCAAATTGACAGGTTACAGAAGAAAAAGACGATAACACTGTCAATTTATTCAAATCCTTCCTTCCTCCCCGAATTTGAATTGATGAGCTACCTCTCCTAATGGAATGTCAATCAGCGCTGAGCCGCCGCCGCCGCTGCTGCTGCTGCTGCCTGCCTGCACTTTATTCAAGAAATGAGTGGAGAGAGAGAGAGCGAGGGGGAAGATTTCCTGTGCCTCTCTGCCTGCTAGGGACTGATAACGAATGCTGTGCTAAAAGTTCAGTAAAAGCTGGTGGGCTTTAAGTAGTTGTGTCAAGTGCAACTTTTCTTTTTGTGTCTCCTTATTCTGAAAAGAAAGTATGGACACGTAAAAAAAACAACCTTCTCTCACAATGGAGGGGATAACGAGGCACGGGGGTCGGTGTATATTTTCTTTTTGCTGACTGTTTTGTCCCCCCCCCGCGGTTCGTCCCACAGCATAAAAAATGTCACGCCCAAGGTGGGCGGCCGCGAGACCCACGACGCCATCCGGCGGGCGTTCGACGTGTGGCAAGGCGTGACCCCGCTCCGCTTCGAGGCCGTCCCGTACAGCGCGCTGGAGACCGGCAGGCGCGACGTGGACATCACCATCATCTTCGCCTCCGGTTTCCACGGTGACAGCTCGCCCTTCGACGGGGAGGGGGGATTCCTGGCCCACGCCTACTTCCCGGGCCCGGGCATCGGAGGCGACACGCACTTTGACTCGGACGAGCCCTGGACCCTGGGGAACCCCAACCACGACGGTAAGTGAAAGACGGTCAGGGGTAAGACGAGGCTGAGAATAAATAATAACCACGGGGGAGGGGGGGCATTTAGGATCGGGGGGGGGGAAGCGAGGGGAGAAAGTGGAGAAGGAAAAAGTGCATTCATGTAGAAGTAAGTAAACAAGTGAAGGGGGTGGAGGGAAGGAGGAAAAGCGTCGAGACGCAGACACAAAGAGCAGTCATCGTGGGGGACAGCTGAGGACTGATAGGAAACAAAGACTATCAGAGGGGGGGGGGGAGGGGGGGCGTAAGCAGGGCAGCGTGCGGAGGATGCTTAGCCGAGAACACAGAATGCAGAGATGCCTTTGATCGGGCTGTGCTCTGTAAGAACGCATCGGCCCATCTGTCAGGATTCTGATGCTTTCTGCATAATAAGCTCCTCAGATGATAGAGAGCTCCGCTATTTTAAGACGTCGGTTGCTGCCACATGGTAACGGCCGTTCTGTTTTTAGTCAGTTTCGCTCAGTGGCGAGCTTCAAGAGAGGTGAGAGATGAGAAAAAAGTGCCCAATGCACTCCACATATCCACATATATATATAAAAATACTTAGGGATATTAAAGTACTGTATATATAAATGTAGTGATACCATTGCAACGTGTAAGAGTGATACATGTACAAAGTGATGATGATTTTAAGTGATGGAAGCACACGGTTCATTTCAAGGAGGAAAATAAAAACCCTGGAACTCTTTTATTTGGATTTGAGTCAGCATTAATTCGTTACTGCTCTCTCATCGTATGCTGCCTTTTCCTTTGGGAAATTCACCATCTTTAACTTGCCCTTTTAACCGAAACATACCAAATAAACAGTTCATAGCCGGTGAAAATGACCCACAGTACGAGTAAGGTTGGACTGCGAGGCGTCTCCGTACGTCCTCTCACCGGTGTCACCGGCCTTCTGCTGGCCTCCTCACCTCCAAAGTGATCAAATGGCAAATAAACCCAACCTGGGTAACAGCTGTTCATGCTCATGGAAATTACAGTATGACGAGATCTGGTAAACTAATATTACTTAAAAGAAACAAATGAGTGAATTGACGGTATTATACTTCAAATCCTGTTCAGCGACGTGACACATAGTTTGTTACAACTGAAGCCAAATTAGCGTTGCTTTTTTTTAACTAAATGTTTTATTAAGGAATTTAACTAGTTAGTTAAATGACAAGAATTATAAATAAATAACGTCTCACTCTGATCTTAGCTATGTTAGCTATGTGCATCCTCCTAATAATGGAACGGAACTCCTTTAGAAGAACCTTCATCCTAATCTTTATCTTTATCTATTTTAAAGTTATAGTCTTAGTATTTTGAGCGAGGAACGTTGTTGTTTTACTGTCTGCAGCATCATCACTGCCCTCTGCTGCACTGCAATGTAATATAATGTTACCGTGTGCTACGACGTGTATTATGGGTGTATATTTGGGTTACGTATGGGTTACGTTATGTTCTCTTATGTAATATTTTATTATGTCAATTCAATTGATTTACATGGCGTTAAATAATAAGAGATGTTATCGTGGGACACTCTTCATATAGAGCAGTCCATAATCTACAGAGACTCAACGTTCGCCATGAGCCATCGCTGAGGCGACAGCGGCCACTTGGGCCCCATGACGCGCTGTTACGTAATGCCCGGCCTTGTCATGTTATGTTACTGCGGATGATGCTGCGATGGATCAGCTTAGGTTGTCACGGATCTATTTGCCGCCGCGTGGTCGCGCGTTACGTGGAACGTAAAGTGGACCGTCTCTTGCCAATGTGGATTCTGGCAGAGTGCAGCATCGACATCAGAGGGGAGGCGAGATAATGGAGCCTTTTCTTAGAAGAGCATCCACACACACTTTAATTACCCCACCTACAGGGCGCCAGCCTGCTTCGCTAATACCCGTGTGCCAATGCGCTTACATTCTGTCCTCCCATCAGCGGTGGAGGAGGGTAACGGCTCACATTGTGTTTGTTGTTTGCCGCCCATCAGCTCCGGTCCCTCGCTGGCATTGGTTCTCATACGGGCCCATGCTAATTGTCTCAGACTCCCCAGTTCTCCGTGTTGGAGAAGCTGTGCGGCCTTTAATGGGCGTAATTGTAAATGTTGCATGTTGCCATGTGCGCTAATGGTAGCCCGTCTCCTGGAAGGCCTTGTGGGACGGTTTTGGGTTTTGATGGAAGGAGCTGGTTGTGTTGGATAAACGGGGGGAGGGGGGGGGTTGACCTTTTAGCTGCCGGCGGAGGGTCAGTGGTGGGTCGGTGCAGCGCTCCTGGCAGGAGTGGCTGTATCGGCAGTCTCCTGGGGAGAGCTCGCGTAGCGGGCTGTAAATGGTGAACTTCTCTCTAAACCAGGTGGACGCTGGGGGCCACTGACCGCCGGCACCGACCGCGGCATTTGTTCTCGTGCCGCGGGCCGCGATGTGTGTCTCTCTGCGCTCTAATCCCTGCGGTACACCTGCAGCAATGTTTGAAAAGGGCTAAGAAATAAGGTCGGAAACCTAAAAAGGTCGTCAATTTAGAAAACCTGAAAAAAAAGAATAGCTCAAATATAAATATTCTTAAATTATTGACTGATGATCAGAAATGTGAGATTTCCTCATGGTGACATATTTATCCAGTAGTCACTAAAAGACCAGAGAGAAGTATGACTATCTACTGGTATTATCTTTGCCCACCTCATAGCTTATCTTCCCTTCTCTTGGGAATGATTCCACATTTTTGCCATGAGCTCAGCGTCTAATTATATCCGTATCAATAATTAATGAACTTATTCCTTCATCATGCGTTTCTGTGCTTATGGCAGTATGTCATATGCTGATAATAATAATGATAATAATATATAGAGTGGTTCCACAAGCTTTAATACTGCTCGTTAATGAGTGCGTCTGTACGTGGGTGGATGTCTTTTCTTTCTCCACCTCTTGTTATCCCCTGTACGTACCGCGTACGTGATGGAGTTTTCATTTTTTTTTTTTTGTTGCATCATCGGAGTCCTCTTCCCCCTGCAGGTAACGACCTGTTCCTGGTCGCGGTGCACGAGCTGGGCCACGCCCTCGGCCTGGAGCACTCCAACGACCCCACTGCTATCATGGCTCCCTTCTACCAGTACATGGACACGGAGAACTTCAAACTACCTCACGATGACCTCCAGGGCATCCAGAAGATATACGGTAACCCTCTGTCTTATATCTCACTCTCTACGTACTGATGATGTTTAGCAGTTTAAAAAAAATTTGATGTTGACCTCAAGAGCAATGTAACGTATGCATGAATATTTTCATATTCACAATTACAAACATTCAGTAACAGTGTGACAGGAGGCATCATTTGTCAGGTGTTATAGAGTGACTCAAATAACAAATCATCTGTGCCAATATTAAAGTAGCAAGTTACTCAATTTCTCAATGGGTAAGGTCCAGAAAAACCTTTCGTCTTTTTAGGTCCACCAGATAGGGCGCCGCAGCCTACCAGGCCGCCGCCCACGGTCCCTCCTCCTCGCTTCCACCCTCCCTCAGACCCCCGTAAACACGACCGCCACGCCAGACCCCATCGCCCTCCGCAGGGGGCCAAGCCCTTCAACCCCAACTCCAAACCCAACATCTGCGACGGAGGCTTCAACACGCTGGCCATCCTCCGTCAGGAGCTGTTCGTCTTCAAGGTAGGGTGGGGGGGGTCTTTGAAAATCATTTTAAAAACGTTTCGGGTGGCGCTGGTGGTGATAAAGGTGATGAAGGTGATGAAGATGACGCTGCTGTATTTATTTCTATAGGACCAGTGGTTTTGGAGGGTACGGGACAACTCCGTCGTCCCCGGTTACCCCATGCAGATAAACTACTTCTGGAAGGGATTGCCTCCCAAAATTGATGCCGTGTATGAAAATAGCGAAGGAAAGTTTGTCTTTTTCAAAGGTAAGAAAAGACATTAAATATTTCATATTTTGTATATGTATATTTTTATTCCTTAAAGGTTCCCTCTAGAAACACCCTTGATGAATAAAGCATTGCTCTACATAATATATAATAATAATATAATAGAGCTTTGCGTTGATGATGTTCATCCACACGCGAGAACACGCCATGCGTGTTTCTGCCACCGGCTTGATGCCGTGTCGCTAACGGCTTTTGCTGGCAATATGCCAAGAAATGTAGCAATGCACCAACGCAGGTGAGGGAGAAGGAGGCTGCTGCCTGCTGAACATGTCTGTAAACACAGAAGGACGTAATAATACCTGAGAAAGAAAAAAGAAAAAAAGGAGAATCGATTGTGCCTGTGAAAGTGAGAACTCTTTCAACGTTTTAGGTTGTTTCTCTTATCGCATACCAACACTGCAGGGGATCGTTTATCATAAAGCACCTAAGCAGGCGACTTAGAGCCTGTTTTCTTTATTTCATCTTTGGCGACAGAACGCGCGCAGGTCCAATGCAGCCATCCGTCCATCACGCAGATTAACAGGACATCTGTCTCCCAGTGGGATCGCAGAGCCCCCTGCTTTGCTTATTCACTGGAGGGGACTCAACTGCATGTGTGTGCATGTGATGTCTACACAACCAGCCCGATCTCCAAAACCTGTTCGTAAAAATGTATACGAAAATCTTGAACATACAAATTCGTAGTGATACATACGAAATAATTACGGACTGCAACTGATGACGTCGCCCTATTCAAAGTGAACGGGGACCTGCACCCCGAAAACACACTTTGTGAAGTCTAACCATGTAAAATAAACGTGTTATGATTGTGATTTTTAACGAGAAATCAATGTTAACCTGTAAGAATAGAATACTAACCCTAACCCCCTCAAAACATCCAACATGGCGGAGAGACGTTCACTCAAGAATCCAACATGGTCCGCCATGTTGTCCACTCAAGGGGCGTGGTTAACCACCGCCAGTTCCGATGTATTGTTACGAATTTGTATGTTCAAGATTTTCGTATACATTTTTATGAACAGGTTTTGGAGATCACGTTGACACAACACACACACACACACACACACGCGCACACACACACACACACACACACAGCAGCACCCCTCAGTCTGCCTCAGGCATTCATGATCAGAATGAATTAAACGCACAAACAGCTTCAATAAAACTGAAATAACAGTTATATATATAATAATTCATTCTGCTTTTTATCGTATTATAGATTTTCTGTCGCGCGCATATTTCGTAAACGACGTGATACATCCGACGTTTGAAATCATGCAAATAAAAAACGAATACACGAAAGCAGAGTTTCGTCTACAGCGATATTTGAGGTCATTCATTTATGAAAACGTCTTGGTCCCGGAGCCTCCTAACCGGCTGTGTGTATTTCAGGGAACCGTTTCTGGGTCTTCAAGGACACGACTCTCCAGCCTTCGTACCCTCAGGACATCTCGCTGTTCGGCAGCGGCATGCCCACCCAGAGCATCGAGACCGCCGTCTGGTGGGAGGACGTCGCCAAGACCTACTTCTTCAAAGGAGACAGGTCGGTGTTGTGAAGTTGAACCGGAGTCCGTGGGGACCATTAAAGGCTGAGATCTTTATTCAAGTCCTTCGTTTATGACGATAAATGGTTTTCTGCGTCGCCAAATGGTGTAAACAAGTATAAGGAGTGAATCCTGCAGCCAAAATAAAGGAATACAGAGTATTTGTCAGCTCTTTCCCTTCTGTTTTTCTCGTTTTAACTATAATCATTTTCGGTTTTGTTGATCAGCGCGTCTTCAATTTTAGCGTGGATTATTTCTGTAAGCTGTCACACATTGCTATTAAAATGCTGATTGTCTAATTAACAGCTGAAAAATGCCGCTTGTTGACGTTCAAGCATAAACAAGACATTTGTGGAGCGGATTCTATTACTTCAGTGTTTGAGTTCTCATATTATTTGGTCTGCTTGCACACATCTATTTATTTATTATTAGTTTTTAGTTAGAAACTGCAGGACGTGCAGAGAAAGTGTTGTTTGTCTCTGTCCACTGCGTGGGGCCCACATGTAGAGCGAGTGCCGGCGTGATTCACGTGTTTGTTCAGCTGTCGCGATGCATCACGTCCCGGGAGGTCAGAGGACCCCCGCTGAAAGCCGACCAAATGCCTCGTCATGACACTGTCGTCCCTCGGCCTGCTGCTGCACATCACGGCTCAAACGGGACGTTCTGTCCGTCGCCTCAAACGGGATCCCGCCCCCGCCCCCCCCCCTCTCTCTGTTTTGTTCTAATCCGGAGACACTGCGAGCAGGATGTGTGTGTGTGTGTGTGTGGACGCCGGCGGGCAAATAGCAGATCAATCCCCCGAAACTAATTTACCAGGCAGATAAACACAGTTTGAACGGATCGATTTCGCTGGTTCATGTGATCCAGATCTTTAAATGGTCAGATTGAGCTTCTGGTGTCTGACACGATGTTTTCATAAGATGTGTTTCGTTTGTGTGCAATACATGTTTTTAAATCTTTTACAATTACACGTTCTCCATGTTGTCAATTCACCATCCGGACGGGTTAGTGATGGATTCTTTTAGCATCTGCCTACTTTTTTAGCATGTGTATCCACCTGGCACTACTCCTTGTGATTTAGAACGCATGGATGTGTGAATACACGCAGGAATAGTGGAAGGATTTCTGACCCGGGTGAGCAGACGAGGGATTCACGTCACTGACTTTTCGTCTGCTGCATTTCTATCCGTCCCGTCGTAGGTACTGGAGGTACAACGAGGACATGAGGACCATGGATCCGGGTTATCCCAAACCAATCACCATCTGGAAAGGCATTCCTGACTCTCCGCAGGGGGCCTTCGTGGACAAGGCCAACGGTATGGCAGCTTCGTGTCAGTGAGATTGACACTAAGTAGTCTAACACACTTATCAGTGGTTGGTAAGACAGAGTGACATTTAGAAAAAGATGAAGGGCAACACCGTAGAAAACACGTATCTAGTAACGTGGGATGTGTTGCAATTATTTCAGTCCTGTTTGCAACGACATGAAAGGAAAACAGCAGGTTGAATGACGTGCGCCTGTTTTCTGTTCACAAAGTCGCTTCATACACAAAGAGAGTTGTACGCATTAATAACTGAACTGCTGTTACAGTAATTTAGGCAAAAAAAATCACAATAATCAATTATTTGTCTTTATAAAAATATTTACTATTTTTTATGATAGTTTGGGGATTTTGAAAAGAGATCTTGTCTCATTATCAAGTATTCTGACAATAAAGTCAACATAAGAACAACCTGTGTTCTAAAGTCCAGGATGACCCTTCTTCTAATTTCTAGCTCTTAGTATTTTGACGCAGCCACCAGATGGCAACAGACATCCAACTGAAGTTCATTCCTTTTGTCTCATACTGAGGAATCTGTGGATGCCACATTCTGTACAGCACGGAGCTCTTCGGTCATATAAATATTAACCAACACTGAGACCGGCTGAGCAGATCTTCATTGATCGGATCATAAATGTTGTGTCTTTTTGTAACGTTGTAATCTAAGAGTAGACATCAATGTCTACGGGCTCAGAAATACTAGTTTTACTACTAATCTACTCTGCAATTGTAATATTATTATGATTGTGATGCTTATTGTCTCTCATAGAGGCCGTATGGTTGTGGAGCTATTCCATGTTTCACTGTGTTTTATTTTATCAGGGGCTTAAGATGCGACTGCACAACGTTTGCAAGATAAACGCACAGCACATAACGTGCACTTGTCTCCCTGCAGGCTTCACCTACTTCTACAAGGGAAAGGAGTACTGGAAGTTCAACAACCAGCTGCTGCGCGTGGAGCCCGGCTACCCGAGGTCCATCCTGAGGGACTTCATGGGCTGCGACGGCCTGCCCGCCGACCCCGACTGGGACTGGGACCCGCCGGCGGCGGAGGAGCGCCACTACGACAACGGTGACGTGGACGTGGTCATCAAACTGGACAGCACGGGGGGCACGGAGAAAGCGGTGGCCATCGCCATCCCCTGCGTCCTGGCCCTGTGCATGATGGTCCTCCTCTACACCGTTTTCCAGTTCAGGAGGAAGAGCACGCAGCGCCACATACTGTACTGCAAGCGCTCCATGCAGGAGTGGGTCTGAGGGGGGGAGGGGGGGACAGGGGGGTGGAAGGGGGGGCGAGGCTCCGACGGGCGTCTGCTCACTACTTGAAGCCCTGAGTGCGGCGGTTCGGGGGGGCGGTGGGGGGGTGGAGGGCAAAGGTCACGGTGCACGAGGATTGCCATGTTGGCAAGATTTTCAACAAGAAAACGGCTTGAACTCGCGAGAAGTTGTGTCCAGCTGACGCGCGTGTACGTGCGTTGACTCGTTTTTCCTGCGTCTTGGAGTGAACTCAAAGCGCGTGAGACGCGGTGAAGCGACTGTCTGTCCTCCTCTCTGCACGCCGCTTGACAACCAACAGCGGACAGACTAGATGCGGGCTTCTACTTTACTTTCTAATTCTTCATTAAATCGCCCTGAGCTGTGACTCCCTGTAAAAGATGAATCATTGTGTGGACGGACTGATACACAAACCAAATATGACCTTTTCTTCCAAAGAGGATTGCCGCTCCGTGTTCTTTTTAAACGGGATCTTTTTTTTTTTTTTGGTCCACGGATCGCGCTCGGATTTTCTTTTGCCATCAGTATTCCCATACGGCCGTCTGCTTCGTTAGTCAGCGGGAGTGGAAAGCAAGAGCTGCAACTCGAAGACTGTCGCGGCAGTGCGTCTCCAAAACGGGGGCCCCAAAAACCTCTCTGCAATATTTATGAGACTGCCTTAATCACAGATTGCTTAAAAACTCTGGTCTCTTTCTGCCGACCGGCTCCGGGGTGCGAGCTGGATACTGAGTGGTGCAAGTCAAACACAGTTGTGCATACATTCATTCATTCATTCATTCATTCATTCATTACTGCCTGTGATGCAACTCCACAAGCAGCAGTAGTAAAAGGACGGTGTTACCATTACTCTCGGAAATGTGCTAAGTAGACATAAATGGTAAGCGGGCTGTCAGCTTTCATTTACCACCTCAACGGAGGGGATGAGAGAGAAAGGAAAGCTTAGTTGTGTGTGTGTGTGTGTGTGTGTCTGTGTGGGAAAAGACAGTAATTGTCCACGCTATATGTGTACTGTACTGTAGTGGTCAGTTATTGAACTGCTAACATCCGGCTTCCCTCTTTTTTTCCTGCCAAGCTTTGGACAATAATACTCCAAACCGTGTCGGTCCACGCGTTTCGAATCCTTTTTTTTAAATTCAACTTTTGTACAATGTTTGTAAGTTTACATGATATTTCAAAATGAAAAAGGGGCACGTAGGTTGTGGGAGGCAAAAAAAGGGAAAAATGGCAACAACAAAAAAAACTGACATGTACCATTGTTTAAAATGAGACAAGAAAAAGAAATGAGATTATTTCTGGTTAAAAGTCATCATCGCTGCATCTCTAGTTACCACAGGCACACGTGCCTTGTTTCAGTGGCCTGTGCTTTTTGCCCAGATGGCTCCTTCTTCTCACTTAGTCAATACGGATGATCGAATGCAAAGTGAAACGATTGTGTAGAAGAAGAGAGACGTGCAAACAATAACGAAGGTTATCGTCTCTTATCGACTCTGGATGTCAAGAAAACATTCAAACCGGTTCAATAATGGAACCAGGTTGTTTTATCCACTGTAATTGTAATGATCCATCATTCAATACCTATACTTATGTTACATTAACAAATTACTAATAAATGTTTATGGAACTAATCTAACATTGGAATTAACGGTCATGTAAAAATAAATTAAATAACCTAAACAAAGGCTGATGAGCCTTTTTTTATATTATATATCTTCAACTACGATGTCGCATAAACATATGGCATTAAACGCTAACGGTGTTTTGTTTCACAGAGTTTAATTGACTGTGAGAAACAACTAAGTGATAAACAGCAAAAAGCAAAAAGACAGACTACTCTAGAGGAAATGGCGCTAAACTGATCAGGAACGTCTTCTGGCCCCGTGTTTGGTTTTATCGAAGCAATACACAGCTTGGAACATATTGTCTCCCTCAAATCGCCTTTGATTTTACATGTTACAACGTGGTGGTGCGGCGCGGCGTTTCTCAGACTTGTCTGTGAGGGTTCACGATGTGATTTTTTCATATATTTACTTGTGCTCCTTGATTTTGTTATTCTTCTTTTACTTGAACTTGTTATCAACATCGACTGTACAGGATATCTGACATAACCTTCCATATATATATATATACAGACATGAAGGCCATGCCATATTACGGAAAGGGATTTTAAAAATGTCTATAACCCTTCAGTTATTCTCAAGGATGATAAATGGCTCGCGCCCCGATCGATTGGGTTGCGACTTGTTCGGCTCTGGTTTTATCTTGTAATCATTCATAAGGGGAAACAAACTTAAACTCTAAGGGCAATGCATGCCGTTGTTAAACTAAGATGTCATTCTTTCGTGGACCATTCCAACACTCTCGTGCTCTTCAGTCATTGCGGCTTAAATGGCTGCAGCGGTCGGCGCTGCACGTTTCTGTTGGACGCGTCGATGCGAACCGCCATCTTTTGTGAGCCGCTGTGAAACGACCGGCGTCCAGCCGGGCCCTCCCCGGTTCCACGTTTCAAAGGAAGGAACGCCGGCCCGTCCCGCGGCACCTTGTCATTTTTTTTAGGCGGAAGCAAACGCCCTGCGGCTGTGGCGCTGCGCCACATGTCTTGTCGGTTTGCGTGTCTGTGATGAGGGCCTTAAGGCAGTGAGGGTGAACTGAACACGGCCAGGGAGGCGAGGCGCTGCTTTATTTATTGCCGCATTTAATCTTCTGTGCTCGGCAGCTCGGATCTGCCGTTGCATTGTGGGCAAGGAGCTGTCGATGAAGAGCCTATGGGACTTTCCTCCTCCTTCTGTTATACTGGCTCAGCAGAGCACCGTTGATACGGAGGGGAAGTTTTTCCATCTTTGGTAAAACAAAAACTTGAAAAGGTCACATATTTCAGTTTTTAACACTCGTATCTGCGGTTTGCCGTGAGCGTGAGGAGGCAGCATCGCGCGCCGACCGCTCCGGACTCCTCCGAGCTTTTTCCAGTCTGCCATGACACGCGCTGCTAAGCAGTAAGGCCAATTTAAAGGACGTATGAAGGAGAGAGACAATTACGCAGGCGTCACCGGAGAGCCGCGTGTGAGTGGACGGGGGGAACGTTTTTCAATCATTCGCAGTCATTTGGGATAAATGCAGTAAATAGTCCAGGGCGAACTGTTTGACAACACAATGCATAACGTGTACATAAAGACAGAGTGTATATCGTCTGCTCGGAAGATTTTTGTTTTAAAGTCATTCATGTGGTGTAAATAAAACAAGTGCATAATGAGTGTCTCCTCGTATCGTTGATCTCACACACGACACAAGTTTTATCACCTTGAGGAAAAGCGACGAACGGAAGACGCGTTACATTAGTCAGTCGAGATGACACACCGAAGAAGTGTTTATTCAGGAACCTGGGGTTTATTCTTGCACAATATACATCTGTTATATGATGGTTCAGCAATACAAAAAGGTTCAATTATATTCTGTGGTTTGGATCTAGACTTGACACATGCGTTTAAAAGTAAAATCCGTCGCGTCGATACTTAAAAACTCAGCGTGCAGTACTTATTCTTCACCGTTGCATGTTGCCGAGGCCTTTGAGGGGCACATTGCCTCATTGCACGTCTCTGCGTAGCCTTCTGCACGGGTCAGTCCACTTCCTTTTTTTGTTTTTGTTGAACACATTTTTAAAAAAGCACATAAACAACATTAGGCAAACCCCCCCGAACACCACTGAAACAGCGCTTTTAAGAATGCAGAGAAAAGTAAACTCGTACCGGTCATTAAATGGTGGAGTAGGCAGTAGTCGTTTGGCCGGCCGGCGGCCCGGGACGTCGTTGTGGAACGGGCCTGAGCAGGAACAAACCACAGCAATGTCACCAGGCGTCACAGGCGCTGGTGTGACGCGCTGGTGTTCGGTCGGAAGCAAACCTACCCTGATTTTGCAGAAGGGGTGCGGCAGAGGTGGGGTGAACTCAAAGGCAATTTCGTTGGTTTTGTGGGTGCTGAGAGATGTTCGCCTGATTTCAAGGGCTGCGGGGGACTCCTTTGTTGTCCAACAGACACAAAAAACACACACACACGTTGAGATAAATCAGAAAAAGAATCATCCTGAAACAGGCTGCTATACGCTGAAATCAACGGCGAGGCGCTCGACCTCGTACTGGCATTCCTCCTGGTTGCCGTAGCACTGGTTTGTGCGCCAAGCTTTGCCCTGGCTCACCAGGGCACCGGCCGCTTCGCCGCAGGGCAACGTCAGAAACCTGCAAGAAAGGAGGGAAACACCACGGATTCCCTTCAGTCATTTGACCCGAAACGACAACAACAACAACAACAACGTTGCACATCTCTACCACACACTACCATGTTGCGTTGCAAGCTGACCGGTCCGCGCCCGAGGCGGCGGCCAGCAAGGCCGAGGTGATGAGGAGAGATCTGAAAGCCATGGCGGTTGCACCTGGAGTGCTGAGGCCTTGGGTGTGTTTTAAGGGGCCCTTCTTTATTCTAACAATTAGATCCCGCCCCTGTGGACAACAGCTTGGTGGGGGGGGGGCATGTATATGCAATTTCCATGCTCACCAATATTTCCCAAAAAGGAATTAGGTCGCGGTTAACGGTGCTTAGAGGTCAGCCTCTTAGTGGAAGACAAGTACGCTACTAGCTGAGGAGAAAACGCCGTGGTTTGATTCCACGAAGTCACGTGAGTCCGATTCCTTTTTGTGTGTTTTGCTGCAAAGCAGATCACATCTTAAACAGCCACGAAGACGGATGGTCACCTGATACCTGTCAGTCCGTGACTAACGGCCCTCAGACCAGCTCCAGAAGAACCATTGACTTCCGTCTGTTGCATCTATCAGGGGGAACTAATGAGTCCCTAAGCTGCAACATCGCCAGGACTCCCCCAATAAAGACTAGGGGCCTCATTCATTTTATATATATATATATGCAAGATAATCATCACATTCGTGATGTTTTATTTTTAATAAGAATAATTTTAAATTGACAGGATGGTGTTACTCACAATATGATTCCTCTATATAAGGAAATAAATGTCCAGAGGCTGAAGTTGTTGTAATAGTGATCGAGGCATAAAAGGTAAAAATTGTCTCTGCTTTAAAAGTAACTCATACAAAGATGAGGAGTAAAGATAAGTGTGAGTTTCATGTATTTTAGCTGGATTTCTGATGTGTGTGAGTCCTTGTTAGCAGTGTGTTTGTGTTTTTTTTACTGGTCATGGTCACATTCATCAGATCACACTGTCACATTGTGGGGAATCCTTGTTTTTAGCACAAAGAGTGGACCATTGCACATCTAAATAACAGTTAAATTACATATAAGAGTGAAAAAATGGTTAAAGTCAAGGATAGTCGAGAGGAAATGAATGTCAATCTTTGTAAAGTCTGAAAATATATAAGACCGCGTGCGTACATATGTGTGAGCGTGTCCTTCAATTACCTGCTAGTTTGAACAATCGTCCCCGGATTCATTCACAGGTCAGAGGTCACAGTGGCCGCATGAATACAGAATGACCTGCATGAAATCATTTAATTCGTCATGAACATTTTAGAGTGTGTGAGCGACATTCAGAATGCAGATTACTATTTAAGTGACTTGATTTGAATAGACTGATCTTAGATACAAATATATACATAAATCCCACCGATCCATAGTGATATTAATGGTTTTTAAAGTCCCTTTAGAGCACGTTCAGCCGTAGAAACTATACAACAAAACAATTCCTAATTCACCTCATTATTACTTTTTTGACATTTTGCAATATTGTATTTCAATTTCATTGTGCAATATTCTTTTTATTATACTTCATGCAATACCATTTGTTACTTACTTTTAATATCTTTCAATATAATTCTCAGTATTACTTTTCTATTTCAGTCTACTGGGAACTGGTGCTCTATGAGAAGTAAAAGAAAAAATAAGTTGACGTTGATTGACAAATAAAGATGTGTTTAGAATTTAATGGTCATTTTCTTTCCTAGCCAACACAATTTAATCTGTTCACTGGAAAAAATTCTGGATGTTCGGCGTAACCCTCGTTTGTGCTCAGCAGAGCGCCACCTGTCACGATGTGACACTCGTGTCATGTGAGGTAACATAACTCTAAATACCAAGGTCCAATATATTATTTCAATATTTATTTTGCCCTTTTCCAGGAGAGTGAAAGAACAAAGGCTAACCAGTGTGCTGCCCTCCACAACCTTTTACCCACTGTCACCTGATGTCTGCGGCCAATGATGATTAGAGAGTAAGGCTTAAGCCTTAACCTCCCCTCACCTGAGGCTAACTGTTAGGCAAATACACATTGACAGACGCTATCAATCAAATCAAAGAGAGTTTAAAGGGGGAGTGCACTCCCGTTTCTTTAAGGGGCAGAAAATTAAAGTTCCCCTGTAAACAATCTGAACCCAAGAGAAAAAGCAATCTGAAGCATCATAAACTCCCCACTAATGAATGTTGAACAGATGTAACAACATTGACTGAAATTAAACATTGGGAGTGGAGAAAATCGGTTACTACATTTTTACATTATTAGACCTTTATTAAGATGAACATTTGCATATATATTACTAGATTTTTGCTCCACTTAAATATCCTTAAAAATTCATACATTTTATGAAAAATGAAACAAGTACTGTAATTAACATTAACAATTCATCTGTAGTTAATATGGAAGGAAAGGATGAGAATTGGGAGCTACTTTTAAGTTATGCGTTTCTAAATAAAAACAGCGTGGAATAGATTTATGTCCAGCACATCTCTATCTGATCGGCATCATTCCACCTCCAGACCAGCTGATAACACACTAACTAAATAAACAGATTGTTGTAAAATGCAGAACAAATTCGGTCTGTTCTTTGTTCTTTTATTGGTTTAACATCACTGTTGCTACAACTATGATGGATAAACAGGAGCTGTGGTTTCACATCTTTGTGTGTGTGAGACAAAGGCAGAAATCACTTAATGAATCAATTATTCACAGACAACGGGTCTTTTGTTCCCTTGACTTTGGAGCCACATGAAAAGCAAACGATGAGGATGAGATCACAGGATTGATTCTTTAATGTGAGGGACACGCGAAGGACACAGCGTCCTCGATTAGAAACAGAGGACACCCTCTCAGAGCCAAAAGCAGACTTCTATTATCTGGCTGATATTTGTTTTGAATATGTTCTGGTTCTGGAGGTGACATAATACCAAATAGTTTGGCTTGCATTGTGCTGAAGTTAAATTCTTAGTGTGCTTTTATTTACGTGGCGTAATTTATATAATTAATGAGATTGAGAACACACTTTAAACCCAAAAATACACGTCAAAGGCGACAATCAAATTTCACATTTTTATTTTCACTCCATAGACCAGGTGCATTCACAATACTTTATATATCACACATATATAGCTGCACCTGAGGGGAAAACAAAGCTCTCCAACTTAAATGTCAGAGAATCATGAGATGATTTAGTGAAGTTATTTCACCATTAGAGCTCCTCTAGACTTTACAGGTGGCGAGTCCGATGCCCAGGCAAGCCCATTCATTGGTCATCTCCATGAAGCCCGGTCTTGAGGAGAGGCCGGTGGCTGTAGATCATCCATTCACAACGACCAACAGGAGCAAGTTAGATCGTTCCACGTTCCGGCCTTATCCAGTATAACAAATGTGTCTCTACATTTTAGATTTGAATCGAGCAAAGTAGCAGCTCACTCATTTACAACGTAACAAACTGATCATCCAAAATGAATTGTGACTTTGACGTTGCAGCAGCCCGCCTGCAGGAGGCCGTTCACGTGGTGAGAGGACGCAGAACTCACCTGACAGCAGGTTGCGGAGGTTGCAGTAGTTGAGTCCACCGTCGAGAAGACTGGCGAATCCAATGGAGTTGGACGTTGCCTGTTGAGAGAACGAGTGAACAAGGTTTGTGTTACTATATGTTCGCATTTAAACCCGTAGGACAACACTTTGTTGACAGATTGTGAACTCAAATCGTCATGGATACTCACGGTCACACGGCAGCCGTTGGTGAGTACGGTGGGGCTCAGTGAGAAGGAGATGTCCTCTCCCAGAGGTCTTTCCGGAGAGGTGTGGTTGGCTGCGATGTGCACGGGGTTCACCGACACGAGCTGCAACGGACGAAAAGCAACACATCGTCGCAACAAATATGTACGTATACGCGTGTGCACATTATTCAAATGCACAGGCGAGCGGTTGTCACCTCGTACTGGCTCAAGGCTTGAATCTGTACAACGAGTGCGGTTCTGACTTCAACACAGGGGCTCACAAAAAGCCTGGAGAAAAAAAGAGAAGTAAAAAATGTCTGGACCATTCCTCGTGTTGACTTGAATTCAAACACCCAACAGCCAATGAGGACAAAATCCGACTCACCACAGTGTCCTGCAGAAGGGCCGGTAAGGACTGGGAGCAGGTTCAGGAGTGGGGGCGGCGGCCAGAGAGCCAAACAGCCCTGCAAGGAAGGCCGAGGCCAGCAGCAGAGTCCTCATGGTTTCAATGGAGCAGCTTGTGGTCGGCCTGCGGAGCACTGGTGTGGAGGAGGGAAGGTAGCTGACGGATATCCAACCAGGCTCATTTATACACAAATGCCGGGCCGGCCACGAGCACCGGTGAAGATCCTTGAAATCGATTTGGTCGAGGGTGTGACTTCTGTGTCTTGTGGTGATTGTCTGACTCCGTCACTTATGGAACTTATGACCAGCGTGCTGTTTTGTACTAATCGGCATGCAAGGGAAGCCAATCCGTCCCGTCAGCATGGGCTTCCCCTTTGTCTGACTGGATGCTTTTTAATTTGATTTGATTTAAAAAAGAAAGAAATATAGGTTGACAGAAGGTTTAATGTACAATAAACAAATAAGCCAAATGTACAATTGAAGCCAATGTGTGCGCACAACCCGAGTATTGGAGTCGTAAATGTGTTGGAAACCACTGATAGTCACAACTTTATTTAATTTAAATATTAAATCATTTGACTATATATTAAGCTTATTTACTTATTCTCTCAGCAGGCACTTCCTTTCCTTTCGAATGTTAAAGTCTGACTTCCTTTTGATGCTTAACTTTCAGACACCACATCATAAAAAAAAAAACATGTGATATATAATTTCACATATAATGAATTATACATACATATATATGAATATATATATATATATATATATATATATATATATATATATATATATATATTTTATATATCGCTGGACTTAGTTGCTGAGACAATGCTCATATCTTTAGGCAGCTATTTCAATCTGCTTAACGGGCCCTTTTGACAAACCTTTCACATAATGTTTAAGGTCTCTCGGCATTCTTTTCATGCTGACTCATTTTTATGATCCCATAACTAATTCGCTGCCATTTTCCACCCACATTTAAACTCTATTTTCTGCATCACGGTCATTCACAAGTCAGATGACTTTTCTAAGTTGTCTGGACACACTGAAAGTGGAGCTCGACAGTCTGTAGAAGAGAGCAGTACAAATAGCAGTGAAAGAAATAGAAAGAAACATGTGACTTGTAACATTTGTAACATTCAAAGATTTCTTTACTCTCCCTGAACCACACACATGAAGCCTGCTGCTCATAACGGCATAAAAAATGTATTGATATTTTAAAGCAACCCAGTGTGGAAATTATTAAAACAACACACACTGGGAACATGTGCCGAATCACCATACACAGAAACATAAATAATTATTCAGAAAGCATTAC